TTATATATGTGTATATTATGGTTGAGCAAACAAATAAAAATGCAATTGAACATGAGACTCTCCCTTTTTCACTGTTGGAGAACAAAGTTACTAAGAAAAAAAGGGCAGGGCAAAACAAATGCTGTGGTACCAGAACTGGAGGGCTCAGAATGAATTTATGGATTTTTAAATTATACATGTATACAGAGAGATTCAGATATAGATAGAAGGATTAGCATACAAAGATATATTTTTAAACTATCCACTAACAGGGCTTAGAAGTAATGACATCCTAGTAACAATGAGAATATCTAGTACCTAGATCTTGGTTTCTAGATAGTATTTTCCAATAAAAGAAATATGAATTTCATGAAGAAGTGATTGATTCTAAAGTTAGGGTAGGAAAAATACAAGATGGGTTTGAAGCTTCTTGTAGTACCAATACTCAAAAAAGCAAGTACACTTCAAAAGGATGTACCTCAAAAAGTTCTTAATGCCAAAGCTGAAACAAAACCAAGTATTAGGTTACAACTAAAAGGATAAATCAGTCATGAGTCTATACTGATATTGATTAGAAGTGAAGATATAGCTCATACAGCTAAATAAATAAATAAAACAATGAGGAAAGTATAAAATTACCATTGGAACACCATAGTAATAATTACTGCATGCAAGATCCAACAATGGATGTAAGAATATTAGATGAAAGAAAGTTAAGGAGAAAAGGTTATTTGCATAGTATCAAAGTACCTCCTCCAAGATAGTTATTCATTACAAAGGGGAAAACATTACAGTTGAGAAACCCAGCAGATATCACAAGCAATGAAGATTAACATTACCTGTAATAATGACATATTGACTCACGTAACCAGGCATGAAGCACAAGATGGGCACAGCATTTTTTTGGTAGTATCAAAAATATACAGGCTTCATGTAATCACAACAAACATCAAACAAATCCAAACTGAGGAACATTCTAAAAAATAACTGACCAAAAGACTAAAGTATTGTCAGAGACTGCTGAAACCAAAGATGACATGACAACTAAGTACAATGTAGGATCTGGGAATGAATCTTGGAACAGAAAAACGTCATTATAGGAAAAACCAATGAAATCTAAATAGTTTATACTTTAGTTAACAGTACTGCAGCAATTTTAATTTCTTAGTTTTATAATTATATTATAGTTATGCACTATGTTGATGTTAGGGAAAGCTGAATGAGTGGTTGGTACATGGAAACTCTCATAGTTTTAGAATTTTCTGTAAGCTTAAAGTTATTTTAGAATGAAAAGTTAAAAACTGTCCCCTATGACTCCAAATCTTATGAAGAGTTAAGGAGAGAAGAGGTCAGAGTATAATCTGGTTTTTCAGATACACTCTGACCTTCTCTCCCATGCCTCTCTCCACTGTCCTTGCTCCAGCTGCCCTGTCCTCTGTCAAGCACACCCCCTGGCTTTTGTAATTGCTATTCCCCTGCCTAAACATTCTTTCCCATTTACCTGTGTATTAGCCTCCCACTCTTCTTTAAGGAATATGAATTCATATCACTTTATCAGAGAGGCCTTTACTAATTTTCCTCGATAAAATACTCTCTTTCTTCATTATGCTGTACTTCCCTTTATTCTTTTACACAGCAGTTATTACCATCTATGCATCTATTTATTATTGGCCTCCGCCATTAAATTATGAGCTCCTGCGAGCAGGGATTTTGTCCATTTCCCTTATCACTGTATCTCTAATATCTAGAACAATAATTGTTATATAGTAGGCACTCAAAACTTCGCTGAATGAATGAATGAATGAATGACTTATCTCAAACATCAAATCAAAGCTTTATGGCCTGCACCTTACCCCAAACTGTCAGATGCTATTCAGAGTATCCTGTGCAGAGCTATTTGCCTGTATTTAACTGAAAGCACAAAGATATCACAGCAGTGCCATTTTGTTATAGAAATGAAGAAAATAAATCAAGGTTAAAGGAAGAAGAAGCAAATGATAATATATTAAAGAGGAAAATGGGATACTAGTTATTTCACAAAGATGTTACACTTTATTTTGTGTCAATTTAACGATTAAATGTATTCATTTGGTTCATAATATTTTAGTTATTAACAATATTCTGAAGAAGTCATTGGATTTAAATATTATCCATGGTTAAGATTAATAATTGTTCTGCAGTTAGTTTTAAAAACGGTCACAAAGCTCCTAGTCCCTTACTTTAGCACTTAACAAACTGACACTCATTTGGAAAATACCGTGACCAGGCTCTTACTGCACCTCACTAGCTAGTCACATAAACAAGAGAGTTGTCATGTGTTATGGACTTGACCTAGGGAACTGAGTGTTTCAGGAAGATCCCACACACTTAACTGTTGACCGATGGCAGTTTTAATGACTATGGCGAAGTTTTCTCTAGTTGTCTGTAAGAGCAAATAATCTGTAGAAACCACTGTTCACTTGTCATTTATTTGTCATTTTCCATGGTGATTATCAAAAGATAAATACTATAGTACATTAACCATAATGTGCATAATTTATAGTGGCATTGAAGAGTAGCAACACTATCAACAGTGGTCAAGTTCCAGGTCAAAAGTATGTTATAAGGATCAAGAAAGAAAAAGTAGGGCTGCAATTGTAGCTTAGTGGTAGAACATTTGCCTAGCGTGTGTGAGGCTCTGGGTTCCATCCTCAGCATCACATTAAAAAATAAATTAATTAATTAAATAAGGTTATTAAAAAAAGAAAGAAAGAAAAAGTATTACCAGTTGTTTTCCTGGTAGAAAAACTATAAATCATAGAATATAAACACTAATATGACTGAAATAAGCATAAACAAAACAAAAAGAAGAATTTAATATAGAATTATCTATACTATACAACTTTCATAGAATAAGAGGGATAATTAAGATGCATATGCATTCAAGCTTTAAGTACTGACTCAGCTGACTCAGTGGATCCGCATACTCTAGAAGTGGTTTATGGATAAGCATTCTAAAAGAGAGAGAATGTAGGACTTAGGCTAATTATAAAAGACTAAAAATGTAGTAAATCTTGGTAAAAATGTGTATTTTTTAATGTTAACTATGGAATTTCACATTTCAACACAACATTTACAATGTCAATGTTTGAGTTTAAATAGTCTGCTCAACTTTGGGCTAAAGGAAAGGTGACTAGAAAATTCTCTGATCCAAGAGTGTAAAATTAATGTCTTAATAATACAAATGAAGCTGAATTTTATGGGTACCATTTCATTTCCTTACAAGCACTTAGGATGTTGATAATGAAAAATAAAATAACTCTTCAGAACTTTGAATATAGGACCACCACTGATTTAAAAAAAAAAAAAATTTAAATCATTTTCCCTACTCTTGGCAAATAACAAGCATTGGAGCTTTCAAGAATATTATATGTCTTTGGTTCTCTGTGATGCTCAAGTAAATTTTTGAGTTACTGAAATAGAAGCTTTAATCATTCTGTACATGCTACAAAAGAAAGCTCTAGAGAAACAAGAATTGCCCAAGGTTAGAAATTTCATCTGCTATTTAACTACAGGCCTCAGAATTAATCTATGAAAACATTTTTGGGAACTACATAAGGCATATGTTTGCTTTAGTTTGGCCAATCAAGGTGCAAACCAGAAGATATCTAACTATTTTATTTATCTAACTATTTTATTTATCTAACTATTTATTCCCCATCCTTTCCCCCAGTGCTGGGGATAGAACTTAGAGCCTTGCATATACTGGGCAAGTGCTCTACCACTGAGCCACATAACAGGAAATACATTATGATGAATTTCCCTGACTAGTTAGTGAATTCCCCTTATAATATGTGGTATCTCAAGAGTCTTTTCAAGGTATAATTCATATTCTATCATAGAAAAAAGGTTTAGTTTGTTTCCAAACAGAAAAGAATACCTGGAGAAAATTCTGGGTGTCATATATGAAGACCAATCAAAGAACAAATATTTCAACAGAAATGTATGTTATTTTGATAATTCCTTCCTCATTGAATCCCAGCAGCATATTAAAAGTATCAGGGGGTGGGACTGTAGATTGATATGAGAAGTTAACCAACTAGTAGGGAATAAATGAATCATTTTAAATGTCAATAATTGAAGAAATAACTTAAATCAATAATTTAACCCTAATAGAAATGAATCAGGTATTAAAATGCAAAATATATATTTGTCATAGTTACTATATCTAATAGTCACTGCTATTGCAGAAACATATGCCATATTAAATAATTTATTAGAGAAAAAAGTACCAAAGAAAAGCCAGTCATCAGAACAAGAGCTCAAAGACATTCTTTCAACTTCTCAAACTTAATATTTAAAGAACAATATTTTTTTTAAGAATTTTAATATTTATTTTTTAGTTTTCGTCAGACACAACATCTTTGTATGTGGTGCTGAGGATCGAACCCGGGCCGCACGCATGCCAGGCGAGCGCACTACCGCTTGAGCCACATCCCCAGCCCGTAAAGAACAATATTTTAAAGGAAAAACTGCTCAAACTAATTTCCTACCAAGAGATAACTGTACGGTGAATTAATCTACTCATATTTATAAAAAGAATGTAAAAATCAAGTGAAGGAATTGCAAGTTTGATATGTAATACAATAATGGTATGTTATGACATACTACAACATATAGTTTTAGACATTTCCACTACAACATATAGTTTTAGAGATTCCTTATAGTATTAAATAACATTTTAATGGAACATTTCACACAATAGTGAAGATAAAATCTCTTTTGATATAAAAAAAAGTAATGTGTAACAATCTAGAAAATCTGGATATTAAAACATCAATGAGTTTTTGAACTGGAAGAGCTCATCATTACATTACCTTCACCACCAAAAACAAGACTACTAAAACTAATATTGGTTATTACAAACACAGCCAATTATTAAAGAGAAGCCCAAATAAATTTCTGTGGGACAGTAGAGAGAAATATTTACTCATTTATGCCTTATGCAATATTCAGTAGGTAGTAATAATTAAGGAGTTTACCTGACTACTAGTTTCACTTAGAGCTTCCAGTATTTTTTCAACTGCTGCTTGTAGTCGAGAACTAATATTCAGCATTAATTCTTCATTTTCAGGATCTATTTCAGTTCCAGCAAAACCAATCCTTATAAGGTGCTGCGATAATTCTGTTCCTTCCTCAGTTACTTTTGAACACATGCTATTATCAGTTCTTGGCATATCACTTCCAGAATAAGAGGGTATGGATCTGTCTATAACTAGAGTAACAAAATGTTAAAGGCATACATTAATAACAATAATTTCACTTTAAATTTTTAAAATCAAGTCAAATTGAAATCATTTTTCAAAGTACATGTGTTTTAATAACAGCATTGTAAAATTGCAGAATTTAAGATTTGGGTTATTTGGTAATTTTTCTTTAATAAAACTTTTGGGTTTTTTTTTTGGGGGGGGTACTGGGGATAAAACCCAGGGCCTTGCACATAATAAGCATGTGCTGTATTATTGAGCTATACTCCCAACCTGATAAAAACTTTTTAAGATAACTTTTAATAGATATTTATCAATTGTCAAGCATGTAGAGTTTGCTAAGAAATGGGGACACAAAGGAGACAAAATCTGGTTCCTATCGTGAAGGACTTTACAGTATAATGAAACAACACACATATATACATAAGGAAAAAAAAACTCTTGTGCAGTGGGATGTAACAGGTTATGGAAGAATAGAATAAGTGCTCCTAATTTGTTTGGAGTAACCTGACTTTTAAGCATTACATATTTGAACATTACCTGCTCTGGCTACAGATTAAAAGAAACAGATAATTTTGTAGCTTGGTATTTTTGTTAAAAGTATACTGGGAAGAAATTAGGATGATGAGCAGTGCTAAGTTAACTACAGACACTGTTACCATACTATCAACATTATTGTTACATCTTACATAAGAAAATCTGGTTGACATAGGCAGATGATAAGCTTTGCAACTGAACAGAGGAGTATTAATAGAATATGTGGAGACACATAAACTGTTAGAAATTTGGGTCTGCAGAATTAGGGGTCATCTGTAAAAAGGTAAGAGTTTAAACACTGAAAGTGGTTACATCTGTTTTAGGAGTGATATTTAGTGAAAGGAGGAAACAAAGTTGGAGCCTATGTATATCATAAGCTAACAAAAGAAGCCATATAAGAAATATCAGATAGACAGGAGAGGGATGTTCTAGAAGAGAACATTTCTAAAAGGAAAAGACTTTAGTGAAGTTATTTGCCTAGAAAGACAAACAGTCAAGGATTATGCTATGAATTTAATGACTAAAAAGTCACTGTTCTCAGAAAGAAGTGTTGGTACTACAAGAACAGAAACTAAAGTCAGTTAAAGCAAGAGTTAGTCTATTCTTTGTAATTTTTTATACCTTCATTTTATATATAAATTTTTTATGCAGTGCTGAGGATTGAACCCAGAGCCTCACAGGTGCTAGGCAAGCACTGAGCTATATCCCCAGCCCAGTCTCTTCTTGCTTATTCTCTTATGAAGTATACTGAAGTTTACCTTGCAGGATGTGTGTGTGTAAGTTAAAAGAAATAAATAGTTATTTTTATGAATATAAAATGAAATTTTATGGTACAATATGACATTTTGTGGTACAGAGAAGCAATCAATGGTGAGAAAAAGACTGAAGATTCTGTGTAAACATGGGAATAAAACTAAAACACAAATTACAGAAAACACAAGCACAAGGTGAAACAAAGCCATTTATAAATGATCACTGAGTGTTAGTTTTTTTTGGAATGGCAGCAACAACAACAAAAATAGGAAATAAAGCACCTAGAAAAGATAAAGATGTCAATCAGCTTAATGTATTTTTCAGGGCTGGAGGTGTAGCTCAGTAGTAGAGTGCTTGTGCTTGCCTGGCCTGAGTGCAGTCCTAGGTTCAATTCCTAGCGCGCGTGCACACACGCACACACTCACACACACACAAAATTGAAGATAGAAATTATCTGAAATAATCTGAATATGTTCCATTAAAGAAACAAATTTGTTTGTTCCTATGAAACAAAAACGAAAGACAGCAAAATTATAATTACCCATAATGACTAGTCTGGGGGAAAAAATCTGAGGACAAAAAAAAGAAGGGCTATTTTATAACATGCCAACAGAAATCAAGAACAGGCAATTTGGTGAACAGAATCACTTGAGTGGTGAACCAACCACTCAGATGTATGTTGAAAACAAAGCAAATAATAGTTATTCAAGTCTTTTAGTCATATACTTTATGAATTATACCATTCATTTCCTGATGCATAATGGTAAGTTTTTCAGGTTAAAGGAGGGTGAGCAATATCATAGTGTCTTCCCAGCCTCAGTGGCTCACTGAAGACCTCTATGGTTCCAATTGGAAATCATGCGAATCAAGCTTGACCCAAGGGTCTGACAGAGGAAAACTGTACTAAAAGATATGGAGTGGAGACTTAAAGAAATTTGTCCAAAGTCACATTAAGGCAGAAAAAAAAAAAATGAGGCTTTCTCATTACTAATCCAGTATTCTTTCTATAACTTCCCACTGCTTCAAAAGGAAGCTGAAGCAAACAAACTTCAATCCATGGACTCCTACAGGAAAGATGAGCATTCTACCCCTAAACTATCACACTGCAGACCTAAAGGAAATTTTCGTTCAACAACCTAGGGAACTCATTTTTATGAACTGATCTAATATCCACTCAGGTTCAAGTGATTTGACATTTGGCCAAAATTTCCTTTCAATTTCATAAACTAGTTTGCTTTTATGAGGAAGTGAATATTAGCACAATCATTTATTATTTTCAAGTGTTAACAAGTTCATATATGTTTAAAGCCTAAACAAGTTCAGGCTTGAAGGCTGAAACTACATCACAAGTGATACTTTAAAAAAAAAAAACAACAAAAGTTGATTCACAATCAGATTAAACCTTAATTTTTTTTTTGTTATGGTAAATAACACAAATCTTTCAAAGGTGCATTTTAGTTTTTACAGAAATGCTTCCATTAAGAATGTGAATAAATGTCAAAAGAACTTCTTACATATGGGGCATATTGTCAATATTTAAAGCCAGTATTTTCATAAAATAAATGTTTTAAATCAAACTCTATTAATTCAATATATCCTTAAAGATGCAAACTAGGTAAGTATACCCCAATGATTTAATTTTATTAGTAAAAGTAACATAGCCAGGCATGGTGGTATACGCCTATAATACCAGCAACTTGGACAGGAGAAGTATGGGAAGTTTAAGAGCAGCCTTAGCAACTTAAACCAGGCTCTACACAACTTAAGATAAAAAGGGCTGAGTTATAGATTAGTGGTTAAGTATCTCTGGGTTCAATTCTTGGTACCAAATCAAACCAAAGAATTATTTATAAATACAAAAATATAAGATTGAGTTAATTAAATGGACCAGCAGAATTATCTGTGCCACAATATTTTACACAATGTATTTCTTAACTTTGGATTGAATTTTTCTTCTAATGTTTTCTGAATCAACAGTTGATTTCAACAGTTAACATTTTTAAAGATCAATAATAAGAATCATAATCAATTCATATATGTACAAAATGGTTGTAAGTAAAATATTAAGTATGATTTAATCTTCCCTTGAACAGTAATCTCAGTGTTTCCTTTACTAGACTATGAACTACTGTAAAACAGAGACAATACAGAAATTGCTGAATAAGTGTTTATAGAATTGAACAGATAAAGTTGCTTATAAGTAACAAACTATTGCTAGATATGTTAAAATAGACACTATCTATGGATATAGATAGTGGATAGAGGATCTGCTTTCTCCAAGAAAATGAACATAAACATTATCCTCTGTGTTTGCTTGATCTCAATTACCAATTTGTCTTTATAATTCAGCATACTGCTCCTTAAGTAGTTGCTGTTGTTTGCTGAATATTCAGTAGCCATTTTAAGAAGTATCTATGAGAAATGCTAACAAAAAGGCAAAAAATATTTTTGCAATGTACAGAACATTCCTTAGAGTGTCTTTTGAATATGGAAGTCAATCTAGTACAGTTCTTACCAACAGAACAGCAAAATTCCTCCCTAGATGATTAAGTGAAACCAGGTAATTACCTTAAAAATTTTTTGGTAGTCACTTTTATAAGTTTTAGGTATTTTCAAACATTACCTAATTCTTCTTAATACATCAAGATCCATATATAGACATAATAGTCCTTCATTGAGAACTTAACCAAAAGTAAGTTAATTTGAAAAATATATCTACCTAGTTTGAAAAGAGTAAATGTGGAAGGAAGGGTTTAAAAGTCAGGATTATTTCATCTTGTATTTTACTAAAAATGGCATTGAAAATTATTTTTGAACTCACCTGAAGTGTCTTTAATTCAAATTTATTTTAAATTCCAAATCAATCTTTTCTCTGTAGTTAAAATGTACTGCTGGCTAACTAGTACTTAAGCAAACCTTGTGTAACTGGAATACTTTCTATTTTTCCCCATGAAGCTTAAAAACTAGAATGTTTCAAAAATTGTAAAGCTCTGGCATTTCAGAATATTTCCCTCTACCTGGGCAGAAGTGGTTGGATGTGAAATGATAGTGAACTATAGGCTTGACCTTCTAATTTAAGAATCCAGGGCCTATTTCTCTGGAAGCACCTGACTAACCTTTCCCCTCTTTGATTTCCTGATATCTTCTCCAGCAAGGAAAAAGGAACAAAAAAAAACAAGACAGACTGGAGGTCAGCAATGTGATGGTAAAAATTTAAAATAAGAGTGTACAATCACAGATATAAAAAATTGTGTTCTATATGTGTAATATGAATAGTAAAACATTCTGCTGTCATATTTAACAAATTAAAATTTAAAAAAATAAAAAAAGAAATTAAAAGAAGAGCCCAACCCACACAGCTACAGGAAGATGACAGAATTAGGAAAAAAGCCATCTCATAACAGGACCTAATCTTTATATCTACACACAAAAACTGTCAAACCACTTTTCCAAAAGGAAGAAAGGACCTAACAGAGGATAGTCTTTGGTTTCTTATAATCACATTCTTTTAACTATCTCAATGAAAACTGGTGCTGGATTCTTAACAAGTTCTTTATTTTAAGCTTTCCTGATTTACAGGGTGGTGATGTGGAACTTTTCCTTTATAAGTGGAGAAATGAAAGAGTCTTCTGTTTTGCGTAGGCATACCAAGGTATATAATGGCAACTCTAAAACATTCACTTGCAAATGCTATACAATAATACATATAGTGCTTTGAACAGAGTGGCTTTGTGTTTGGAGGTGCATTTGTTGAAAAATACTTGAATATTCTCTCTCCTATATATTCTACACACAGAAAAAGTGCCTTGAACTCAGAAAGATGATTTGAAGATGATTATTTCACAAGCGTATGAAACTAGTATTACCTCTTATGTGTTCCTCTTGGATACCTGACTTTACAGGCGCCTCTGATTCTGACCTCCAAATAAGGCTGACAGATGACTGGCCTTTACTAGATCTATCTAAAATCCCGAGAACATGGCGGCCAATAGTTTCTTCAACAGCTATGGTAGTCTTTACAACTTCTAAGAGGATCTTCAGAAGTCTGTTATTAGTTTTCTGGAGTGCAAACCTATACAGATTTAAAACAAACACATTTATTAAAATATTTAATCTCTTTATAAAACATTTAATCTTAAAATATTTATTAAAATATTTAATCTTTTTACAGTATAAAGCCTTTGCTACTATCTCACCAAAAACACAATGCAAAATATGTGTTTGGTGAAAAATATCATATAGATTTGCTCTATTAAAATAATACAATAGCATCTACAATGAAGTGCTTCTTACTCTTAATTTATTTTTTTAAAAAAGTGATTTGTTTAGAAAACAAATGTATAACATTTTTAAAGGTGCATTTTATTGACCTGAAATAAATCAAATAATCATATTTTTTAAGATAGTAATTAAATTGGAAGAAAACTTTAAGGAGACATAAAACTTAAGTTTCAAAAAGTGTGGTAATACCAATATCTACATAATTGCGTTGGTTATACTGTTCATGTTTATATTCATATAAGGTTTATCTTTTTATGTGTCAGACAACAATATTTTAATATATAATTAAGAATCCAACTAGAAAAAAAGTGGTAGTATTTGTATAATTTCTTGGTGATAAACTAGATGTTTCAATTACAAGAACTGGCAAAGACCTGCTTTTAAAAAGGCTTTCAGTGAAACTACTCAGTCAACACCACAGGAAATATCATAGGCTGTTATTATACCTGCTCCAAAGACAAAAATATCTCTAGTTACACACATTGCACTCAGCCAGTAGGAAAAAAAACATATTTTCAAATAAGTAGAAATAATAGCTTGTCTTTTTAGAGATAAGAAATACATTCTAATTTTAAAATGAGAAAATATTGTTAATCAGCCTTCAAAATATCTTAGCACTATGAACATGTTAATGCCTATATTTCTAGACTTTTTTCCTCCTCTGCTTCACTCAAAAATATATACATTTTAAAAACAAAAACTGATCATACTGGACAATGTGTTTTGTAAGCTTTCTTTTTAGCTTAACATGAACATTTTACCATGTGAAAAAATGTGCTTCCATAAATGATGATTCAAAAGATTATATGATTAATTTTATGAATAACTAAACAACTCACTCAATAGTTTAATTCAACAGAGATACTATGGTTATAAGCTTTATATTTAATACATGTAAGATACAATAAGAAACTTTCATAGTAGGGTCCCCTGGCCTAAGAGACTTCTTTCTCAACCTCACATGTTGTTTGACACATTACCAACAATCTGGTTGAAAGGGTATCTGTTTCACAGGCACATGACAGACCTATTTTAAGATCAGGTAATAAATGGAGAAGTTTTCCTTTAGTATTTGTCAAGTGAAAAAGAGAGTTCTATTTTTGTACCTAGATCAAATTCTCTGCTTACATAATTGAACTCAAGAATGTTTAAACATAAAACCCCAAATAATTTAGTTAGCGGGAAGTAAGGGTTTTAATTCCTTAACTTTTATTTATAGAAGTTTTGTTCAAGTCCTAAATCCAAGGAGTTGGATAATGTGATTAAAACTGATATAATGGTAAAAAGAAATAAAGATGAGCAAGATGTTTATTTTATATTGGCATGGTAACTCTAATTTTCATACACTGTCTTTCTTGTTTGAGTTCCACACTGACTATGTTCTATACTGATGATCCAATGGGGAAGCCAAAATCTTAGGGGCCAAATTCCTCCATGCAAGCTGAGGAAGGAGGTTAGGAGGACCCAAAAAGGTTGACAGTCATAGAAATTGGAAAAGGAGGAAATTAAGTTAGTAGATATTAGTTCTAATTAAAATTTTAAAAATTATTTCCATTTGAACAAAATAAATTTTAGATACTGTGCTTAATATTAATGTGGGATAATTATAGTATAGTTTTGTACATTTTAATATTAACATCTACAAAATGAAAGTAAGGAACGTTTTGTTAACATTGGGTCATTAATTTATTACTTTATAAAACTAGGATATGTATTAAAAGTTCTCACCTGTTATGCTATGAAAGCATGAAAAAAACTAAATGTTGAATATTTACAAATGCAGTAATTTTTTTTCTCAACATAAACAAACCAGAGAATAGCTCACACTGAATCCATGCCCATACACTGAAGGAGGAAAAAAGAAATAAAGCTCACAGGTAGAACTGTTTTGTTTTTTAGGTTACAAAACAGCATTAAGAAGAATAAAATTAATCAAGAAAGGTTTGATGTCAAAACAATTCTAAACATTTAAAGTCAAGTTTATGATCAATAGCCAATTAAAATTTTTATTACATAAAAAGATTCAAAAATTTGTAATTTAATGTCTAAAAATTGATAATCTTTTATATATTACACATATATGGACATGTTTCACACATAGAAACATATGACATGTTTCATACACAAGAGAGTATTTTTAAGAAAATACACATGTACAAGATAAAAATAAGGATGAATAAAGTTTATTACATTTGAACAACCATTTTAATTGACTTTGCAGTGAAAAAATACACATTTTGTATACCTTTCACTGGACAGACTATCAGGAGGTACATCTTCAGGTTTTCTGTCCATTTCCTTTTCTTTCAACGTCTGTTCCTCAATTTCCCTTTGGTTTTCATTTTCATTCTGTTTAAATTTGTGCAACGGCAGAGAGGACAAGACAGAAAGAAAACCTTTCATCTTAGAAACAGCATATCATTCTTCTATACTGGAATGATGTGAAACAGAAAGTACTTGAAATAATATTTAACTACAATTTATCAAGAGATCAGCATTATCAAAAAAAGGATAAAACATTCAAGTGTAGAGATGAAAAATGTTTTAATGGCTTCAAACTAATACACTCTATACAGTGTGACAATAAGGGTTGTCAGGTTGCTCCTTGGTAGAACAACAGTTTCTCCTACAGCAATGCCAGATTCAAATTATCTTAAATAGAAAGCAAGGCATTTTGACTCCACCTACCTTACATCTAAGTGATCACCAATATGTTAAGCTTAGTAACTATAAAAATACGTCTCCCACCAACAATAAAGACAAACAAACCCTACTGCATTGTTGATCTACTGTTCCTAAATGCACCAAAGTCAATACTACCTGTGTTTGCGTACTGCTGCTGCGCAGCTCACAACACAGCTTCTCTCTTCCAGCTAAAGACAGCTGCTTTAGTGCTTCCAACTCCTCTAAAAGCACCCTTTCTCTTTCTGAAACCAGGTTTTCGTTATTTAATGAGGATCTCTAAATAAGAAAAAAGGTCATGGAAGAATATTGATTGTGATAGAGGTAAAAAGCAGAAACATCAAGCAGATTTCTTTTAACCCCTTGGGACCAAGAGACCTTGGTTCTACCTTATATATTTCATTATTAGGGATTAAAAGGCACATATGAAGTTCAATGCAAAATTTGCAACTTTAGAAAAAAAGTTATTTAAACTTAAATATTCAGAAATTTGTATAGTTCAAGTAATATTTTCTCTGTCAATTTTTGCATTGAAATTTTAGAAGAATAAATTCACAAAATGCAATGAAGAAAAGCAAAACTGATTTTTCAAATGATATATTTTATTCTCAAATATCAATTTTCCTATTATTTTATATTTTAAAAATACACGTTGTTTTAGTTTTCAAAATTAAATTCAATAAATTTGTTTTCATAAGAACTTTCATGTAAATATTTCTTGCTTTTCTGCAATAATTTTGTGAGTATATTTTATATAGCAGTTGACAAGAATATAGCTCCCAAATACCATGAAATATTTAAATTTAGAAAAGAATGTTATATAAATTTGAATTTCTCTAATCAACAAGAGATGTGTCCTTGGAGAGAGTTCTAGAAACAGATTACTTCAGAAGATTTCCATTCATGATTAAAAAGATGGATTAAATATAGATAAAGATAAACCTTGGAGATGGTAATTGGCAGACTCACAGAACTATACTATAAATGAACATGGAAAAAGTGAATGACAGCAACTGTATACTCAAGTACCTCAGTATAATATTTCCAAAACTCTCAAAGTGCTTTAGCTATGTATGATCAATAGAATTTTTAAATTTATATTGTAGTCACATTTCCAGTGCCTGAAAGGCAGTTAAATAAAATGATAATGCACATTATACCAGCTGAGTTAGGTGTGCCTAACAAGGTCTAAAGTTGATGCCAGGAACTTCCTGATGTTAAGTATTTGTATCTAGGAAAAATAATTTTGACTTAAAAAAAAAAAAAGCCACATAAAAAATACCATTATTTCAATTGAGGAGAAAAGAGACTCTAAAGTTCCATACCTGGGCTAACTGTCTATTAAGTCTCTTAATCTCTTCTTGTAGCTGCTCCTGTTCCTCTCGCTGTCGCTCCATGTGTCTCATGTGTGCCTGCCTCAACAGTTCTGTGGCCTGTTGATGTTCTTCATACTGTCGTACAAGTTCTTGCCTCATATCTTCCAACTGTTCTTCGTTTGACATCATTTGTCTAGAAGCATCCATGCTTGATGCCAACATCTTACCATGAATCTTCGATAGGAAAAAACACAAGCAAAAAACTCAATCATAACATATTTTGTGGCAATTAGTCAGCATTGATATTTTAACTGAATATGAAAACAATTCTATTAACAACATAAAGCATCTAAGTTTTAGTTTTATTATTAAACAAAAGCGTAAATCATTTTTTAAAAAACTATTTTTTAGTTGTAGATGAACATAATACCTTTATTCATTTATTTTATGTGGTGCTGAGGATCGAACCTAGTGCCTCATCCATGCAAGGCAATGTACCACTGAGCCACAACCCCAGCCCATAAATCACTTTTTTAAAAAAAGTATTTTTCTTACTTATAATTCCAAAACAACATGAAGTTAATTTATTACCACCATATATGTTATTTTCCAAAAGGAAACAGCTACTTACCAGATAGTTTGACTAAAATCTAATTCTAACAGAGAAAAACAAAATACTCAAGATTCTTTATCCACCCCCTCCAACCCCTACCCCATCCACTTTTTTTTCCGCCCGTACTAGAGATTGATCCCAGGGCCTCACACATGCTGGGCAAGTGCTCTACCACCAAGCTACATCTCCAGCCCCTTCTCTTAATGAAGTTATAACTCCTTTATATCTCTTGATATTTTATAATGGGGAAATAATATAAACAACAAAAACAAATATATACACACATACACACACACACAAAGTTTATAGGGCCAGGGTTGTGCCTCAGTGGTAGAGCGCTTGCCTAGCATGCATGAGGCACTGGGTTCAATCCTGGGAACCACATAAAAATAAACAAATAAAATAAAGGTATTATGTCCATATACAACTAGAAAAATATTTTTAAAAGTTAAGTTCACAAAATATAAGCAATTTTGCCTATTTAATTTTTATTCATTGGTCATCACAGTATTATAGAAAACTGCTTATTCAGAGAAAAATTATAATAAATTTTATTTGGAAATAAATGCTTTACATTTATGAGTTTCTCACACTCATGACAAGTCAATAGGTTCTATGAATACTTCAATCCCTTAAGATACTAATTAAAATCATTCTGCCTTGAACAGCTACAGCTAAATTAGTTTTCATAAACATTTCACAAGTTTTGCATTACATAAAAAGCTGACAGTTTTATTTGAATACTCCTTTGAACAAGATATATCTATCGTGAACACATAAAATAAATTTGAAATTCAGATAATTTTAAAAGAAGTAGAATTTATTGTTTTCTGATAAAGGCTGCAATTAGTTGGGGTAACAGATCCTCAACTAACAAGAAAAAAGAATTAGTACATAGATAATAAGATACTTTGAATTGTCTTCTTGAATTCGTAGCAATTTCCTTTTATGTTCTTACATTTAATTGAGCAAATCTTTTGGTCACAGGTATTACCTAGTTAAAATATAATTAATCTTCAATTAGTTTAAATAAAATTAATACAGGTATAATTTACAATGAGAACTTAACATGTACTATGTCCATAAGACAACCAAGAATACTATGACCTGACTTATTTTATACTTCACACCAATATTGTTTCACTTAATCAAATACCTTATAATTAATAAAACACATTAAAGTCAAGACTGGACTTCATACTTTCATTCTCTATTAATCAGCATTATTGCTACTGTTTTAAACTGAAGATATTTTTATAAGTTTTTCTTTTTTATATTCAAAGAAGCATACTTACAGATTCGCTAACTATAAATGTTTTGTCTTTGGAGAACATTTCTTCTGAAATAGTTAGTTGGTGGACCTCTGATTCTACTACATCATCAAGATGATCACTGTTTGGTAACAGAACTTCTCCATCTTCTCCTAACTCTTTACTAAGTGGCTTAAATTCTTCTTTAAATTTCATGTCCAATGCATCAGAGGTCTGAAGATCAATTTGATCCTGAGATAATTTCATTGCATTAAAATAATGTTTTTCATTTTGCTGACAGAAAGTAAGTGCTTGTTTTGATGACACAGTATTTTCTTTTCCCTTTGATAGTCTAGATAGTTCAGTTTGTTGAGCAAATGCTCATTACTCAAAATTATATGAATTAGAAAAAAGCCTGGCCTCATAGTTTTAAAAACAAAAATAAATCCTCTGATAAAGTGATACAGAGATAGGCTATTTTTCAATAAATTTAACATCAAACTGTTTTACTGCCTGCCTTTTAAAATAAAACAAGCAAAACTTTTCTAACTATAACATCAATAAATGCTCAGTACAAAAATTAAAAAAAATAAAAGTCTTTATATTTCTTCCTTCCAAGAAAATTCACTTGGCCATGAGTGATTATGTTCCGTGACAATCCTCCATCAGTATCTGTAGTTATTATCTAACATTACAATAATTTATCAGGGTAATACAACCACTTTTTCTCTTCATAACTTTTCCCTCATTTTTAGAATGCCAAACTCCTTTACAAGGTAACTATTTACAATGTAACACATAATATAAAAAACTTGTGGCATTCTGAAAAATTGTAATTACTATTCTATATCAAGAAAAAAAATGTTCTTCTCAATGAAAAGCACCGCAAAACATTCTATGAAGCAGCAATTATAGTTGATGCTGTTATACAACTGTTTGATGGACTATATATGAAACTTACAAATAAAAACAAAGTACATACCATCTATAAAATCTATGCTTTTTTTGACAGTTCAAAGATCAAGAAAATCTATAAACCAAGAAAATCTTCCAGATAAACTATAAACTTACCTTAGCTATTTCTTCTTCTAATCTTTCTTGGTATTGTTTTTCCAACAATTGAACCATATTTGTTTCTTGTTTCATTCCACATTCATTAGAAAACTAAATTAAAGGGTGAAATATGACAATTTACACTGATTTTATACCATTAATTTTAAGGCTGTACTCAATATTCCAAAAATATCACTATTTTTGGACACTTTCAAATAAAAATAAATTTCAGTTATCTTTTAACAAAAAACATTTAATCTAATAATCCCACGAAATAATTACACTTATTATAAACTTAAAGATGCAAAGAGAGAAATATATTTACATATCTGTAATTATTAGCATAAATTCTAGGGTGGGTTAAGGATACTTAAATATAATTAATAAGACATATATATAAATGTATATTTATTTTAAGTAAAATGTTAACAAGTGGCTATGTTTGATAATGAAATTATGAGCATATTTTCTTCTTGGTATTTATTAAAAGAACACAATTTTCCACATACAAATTATTTTTATCAATTAAAAAAAAATCTTCTTTTAGAAATGTAGATATACTGTCAACATGAAAGTATTTGTTTATTTAACAATTATTTGAATTTCATCCAACAGATATTTAATAAGGGATGAGTGTGGCTCATATCTCTTCTTAATATCCAGAATGAGAAAGGGCAATAGGCAGTGATTTTAATTTTTACTAGAATTTAGAATTATTCAGTGAAGATGAAGATGCAGTTGGGGGTTTGAAAAAAGTTTTGAATAATACAATGTTGAGGAGAGGCAGAGAGTGGTTCGGTGGCAAGCACGGTAAAAAAAGCATTTTTCTATCATTACTTCTGTTGGAAGATGGCCTGATCCATTATTCCAGCCCTAGCACCTTGGATTTTAGGGAATCCTAAACACCATTCTGAAGATATCCTCTGCTTCCATAAGGGGAAGAAAAGACTATGTTGGCCATGGTACTGAAGCTGATTTGTTACACAGTTCATAAAGAAATGTTACAAAGAAAAAATTTAAACTGTAATAAGGGAGGAAAATTCTCAAATTTAACTTTCTCTGTGTTTTTCCTATGCTATGAAAATATTTCTATAGACATTCTGGATCTTTTACATAAGGTATTATCCTCATGCTTTATGCTTAATCTTAGCCAAATATTTACTACATAATTACAAAACTGAAGACATAAAATTGATAGTAAGAAAAAGTGTACATAACTGTTTAAAAATGAAGATTAAAAATAACATACCTCTATTGCATGATCAATATTCTTTTTTAGATAATTTCCAGGATGTACTACTGATTTCTGTACATCAGATTCTTTAATTACCACTGAATCAACAGAGAAGCTAAATATAAATAAAAAAGTATGAAAAAATTAGTGTTGTGTGTTTTATCCAAAGTTTCTACCATGCATAATGTGTACTGAGGCAGTGGGGAGACAAAAATGATAGTTCCCCCAGGGTTACAAGTATTGTAACTTAAAACATTTTTGACTAAGTTTTCCATTTTAAAGTAACAATGAATATTATGTCATTTAATGAATTTCAGTATAAATGTATGATAAAAAATTTATTATGTAAAAAACATTTTTAATAAGTCTTTTAAAAATAACATCTTAGATATGCTTATATAGCAACAGTGTACATAATATAACATAACTATATACACTGATACTACACACTACTTATATACCTAAGATATATAATACATATTATTCATATTACATGGATATCTAAATTACACAGATGCTTATATAGCAACAGTGTACATAATATAACATACTATATACACTGATACTACACACTACTTATATACCTAAGATATATGATACATATTATTCATATTACATGGATATCTAAATTACACAGACACAAAACATATAATAATATAGAATAGATTATATTGAATTAAATATATTAAAAGAGCCAGGTACAGTGGTGCGTGCTTGCAACTCCAGAAATTTGGGAGGTTGAGGCAGGAGGATCAAAAATTCAGGACGAGCCTTAGCAATTTAGTGAGACTCTCTTTCAAAAAAAAAAGGGTTGGAAATGCAGGAAGATGGCTGAATAAAGTATTTGTTTCCCTGACAGATCTGTGGAGTGAACCAAGAAAAGCAGAAAGACCACTTTTCAACAAGATGGGTGAATGGTCCAGAACTAGGAAGGACTTAACTGGAATTTAATACTGGATACTCAAAACAGATCATGGACTCAAGAGATTTTGTATAACAAAATAAGAGGGAAAGATCCCCAGATCCACAGCTGTAAAATAGCTGGAAGTACAAACCAGAATAATCCCTATGTGAATGTAGTAAAGCAATAATAGAACTAAAGGAACCCCCATTCCTAGGAAAACGGAGGTGTTTTGCGGTATGGAGAGCTTAAGAGCTCAGAGATACTGCACAAAAAAACAAACAAACAAACAAACAAAAATCCCCAGTAAGCTGTGCTGCACAGCATCTGTGTATAGGACGGAAGCCACCAGCTTTCTTGGCGGCATGCATGGAGGACAGCAGAAAGAACCATTGTGAAGCAGTGGCTGGGGGGCCTGCAGCTAGGTGAGTCAATTATTGGCAGACCAAAGTCTGGCACCAAAAATGTGTAAGGCAAATCCATAATGTGTGATAGAGAGTGTTCCAAAGTGACCAGGAGAAAATCAAGCATGGAGGGACATTTACACAGGAGAATACTGATCAAGGAAACCCACCTGGCTTTCCCCTCCCCATCCAATCAGCTGCTTGCAGTACTAGCTGGAAGAGAAGTGCCTGACTGTGAATTTGAAAGAACAGGCAAAGGAGAGATCAAGTTTGGAGACCAAATAATGACCAGGGTTCATGGGGTCTGCAGGCAAAGTTGTGGGCTAAGAACAGATTCCTACATCACATGTGTAGAACCTAAAGGAGGTTCCCGAGGTGCGGTCTTCCAATGTGGACAGACAATTGCTAAGCCTTGGAGGTGTGATGACTTAAAATCTTCAGACCAATAGGCACGCAGTGAAGAGATTGGAACGTACCTAAGCCTACACCTTGGCTCTAGTAGTTCCGCTTCCAGGACTAACCCTCTCACCCTAGCAACCTTAACTACCCTGAGGGTAGAGCTAGCATCAAACTCCAGACAACATACCTAACTGCTCAGAAGAGTAGCTGAGAAACTTTTGAACTGCAATGGAAAAAAGTGTTCAATTTTTCATCCAGATTCCTTTTTTTTTCTTCTCTCACATATCTACCATTTTTGAAACCAAGTATTTTTCATGGATCAGTTTATTGAGGACTGGGATATCTGAATAGTACATTAAAGTTTTGTTGTTTATTATTTTCTTTTATATATATATACCCTCTCATTTATCTGTTTCCTTGGATTCTCTTTTTCACTTTTCTCTTGCTAACACCCAACTTCTATTAAGTCCTCCCTTCATTCTTCCTATAATTTTTTAACTTCTATCTTTTCTGATCCTTCCTCATAAACATCACACCCTACATGACTTTTGTTCTCTCTGTCCACCAATGGAAACTGTAAACTTTTTTGCAAACTTATTGTTTATATTGTAGACAATAATTGAACACATCATTTCAGTTTAATGGAACAAAACTGTGAATGCCTTAATAGGAGCTATTTGGTTTAAGGCTGTTTATTGTTTGTATTGGGTGCAGTTATTATTTGTCTCTTCCTTAAAAGGCGAGGTACTAGAAATCTTCAGGGACACTATGAATCTACAGGGTAGAAACTGTACTGCCTGAAATCCACACTGCTAGAAGGACAGACATAAGAACAACATGGGAAAACAATAGAACAAAGTGGCCCAAACAAACCAAGATGATCCAATAATTAAACCCATAGACAACACAGTAAAAGAAACGTAGAAAAGGAGTTTAGAAAGTACATATTAGACTGATCTGGTACATAAAGAATGATATAGGGAATAAAATCAGAGATAAATTTGAGGAGGTAAAAGATCACTGCAGAGGCAGAGATTCTCAGAAAATGACAACAACAACAACAACAACAACCCCAGAAATCCTCAAAATGAAACAATCAATAAACCAATTAAAAATTCAATGGAAAGTATTATCAATAGACTAGACCATTTGGAAGATAGAACCTCGGGCAATGAAGACAAAATATATAATTTTGAAAATGAAGTTGACTACACAGGGAAGATGGTAAGAAACCATGAACAGAACTTCCAAGAATGATGAAATAACAAGAAAAGACCAAATTAAGATTTATTGGGATAGGTGAAGGCATAGAGATACAAACCAAAGGAATGTCCAATTTTTCAATGAAATAATATGAAAAAAATTTCCAAAATCTGAAGAATGAAATGGAAAATCAAATACAAGTGGACCTTAAATGTACAAGATCACAACAGACCCACATCAAGACACATCATAAAGAAAAAGGTCAAATATAGAAAATAAGGATTGAATTTTAAAGGCTATGAGAGAAAAAATATCAGATTATATGGAGAGGGAAACTAATTAGGATCTCAGGTGATTTTTCAACCCAGACCCTCAAAGCCAGAAGGTCCTGGAATAATATATACCTAGTTCTGCAAGAAGATGGATGCCAACCAAGAATTCTATATCTAACAAAATAAAACTTCAGATTTAAAGATGAAATAAAAACCTTCCATAATAAACAAAAGTTAAAAGAATTCACAACTAGAAAATCTGTGCTATAAAACATTATCAACAAAATATTCCATGAAGACGGAAAAAAAAAAAGTCAAAATCAACAAAGGGAGGAGCCATACAAAAGGAATAATCAATCAAAGGAGAAATTAATTCAAAGTAAAAAGTAGAAATAAACTAAAATGACTGGGAACACAAATTATATCTCAAAAATAACCTTGAATGTTAATGGTCTAAACTAATAAACCCAAAAGACATAGATTGGCAGATTGGATTAAAAAAACAAAACCCAAAAATCTGTTGTCTCCAAGAGACTCACCTCATAAGCAAAGACATCCACAGAGTGAAAATGAAAGGACGGGAAAAAACATATTACTCACATGGATTGAGTAAACAAGCACGGGTTTCTATCCCCATGTCAGATAAAGTGTACTTCAAGCCAAAAGTTAATCAGAAGGGTCAAAGAAGACATTTCATACTGCTTAAGGGAATTATACATCAACAAGACATAATACGTTAAATATTTATGCCCCAAACAATGGAGCATCTACATATATCAAACAAACCCTCCCTCAATTTCAAGAATTAAATAGACCATAATACAATAATACTGAGTGACTTTAACAAACCTTTCTCACTACTGGATAGATTGTCAAACAAAAACTAAACAAAAAAACTATAGAACTTAATAATATAATCAATAATTTATACTTAACAGACATATAAAGAGTATTACATCCATCAACGAATACATGTTCTTCTCAGCAGCACACAGACCCTTCTCTAAAATAGACTATATATCTTATGCCACAAAGCAACAATTAAGAAATAAAAAAGAGATAATACCCTGCATTCTATCAGATCATAATGGAATGAAATTAGAAATCATTGATACAATAAAAAATAAAAACTACTCCAACACCTAGAGACTAAATAATACGCTATTGACTAACCAATGGATAGAAGAAGAAATCAGGGATGAAATTTTTAAAATACTTACCAGAGATAAATGAGAACTGATACAACTTGTCAAAATCTCTGGGACACTATTAAGCTAAATTCATTAAAAGAACGGAAAGTCAATGAGTAAATGACCTAACATAAGATCTCAAAGCCCTAGAAAAAGAAAAACAAATCAACACCAAAAGCAGTAGAAGACAGGAAATAATTAAAATCAGAGCTGAAATAAATGAAATTGAAATAAATGGAACAATTAAAAAATAAATAAACAAAAAGTTTCGTCTTTGAAAAAATAAATAAAATTGATAAACTCAATTGTGCTAATGAAGACAGAAAACTCAAATCACTAAAATTCATAGTCACAAAAAATATTACAACAGATACTGTTGAAATACAGTAGAGAATCAGAAGCTATTTTGAAAATTTATACTCCAATAAAAATGAAAATTTTAAAGACATCAACAAATTTCTAGAGACAAATGAGCTACCCAAATGGAATTAGGAGGCCATACACAATTAAACCTGATCAATTTCAAGCAATAAAATAGAAGAAGCCATCAAAAGCCAACCATTTAAGTAACGCCCAGGATGAAACAGATTCTTACCCAGTTCTACAAGACCTTTGACGAATTAACACCAATAAGCCTCAAACTATTTCATGAAACAGAAAAGGAGGGAACTCTTCCAAACTCATTCTATGAAGCTAGTATCACCTGATATCAAAATCAGACAAAGACACATCAAGGAAAGATAACT